CTTCATAAGAACAACACCTCTACCTCTCATTCAAAAACTCTCTCAAACTCACAAGAACTCATTGTGGAATACCCAACCCCAAAAGGTTTCAACCCAAGAAGATGAAGAAAACCTAAGGGAAGCACACTAAAAAGTTTTCAAAGTTTTTTAATCTGTATCACTTCCTCCCACTTTCTCACTCTTTCTTACTCTTTGTCTTTATTTGTGCCCTAGTTTCCCTATCTAAAGATACAGAAAAAAATTAGTATAAGAATACCTTCCAAAACTAGATTAGGTGGTCTGACAGCGTGATCATGTCTGAAACTAGCGTGGTCACTTTATTTATGGCATGGTTAAGCCTAGATCAGGCATGTTCATGCCCAAATCAGGCGTGACTATGCCAAACAGAATAGTCATGGTCACTCTCCACCTCTTCCCCTTCTGATAAAAAAATATGGTCTTTAGTAGTCTAGCCAGGATTAAGACTCTGTATATTAAATCCAATCTAAGTGAGCATTGCTCAAGTCCCCTTCATAAAGCCCAAAATAAATCCCTCATCAATGCACTGCTTTTATAGCTTCTTCATTTTGATTACAAAAATATGATCACAAGCCTCATTAATGTGATCCTAAATGATGCTCCTGAAATCAATTGAGCTCTTTAAGTCCTCCACTGCCATCAGGTCAACTTTTGCAATACCAACCTACTTCTCCAACTTTAATGTCTGGCTCTCCTCTTCTAATATAAACATCTTTGCTCTCAGGGCCTTCAAGCTCCTGGAACTCTAACTAAGGTTAGTTCATAACTCTAACCGCTCATCCTGAGTGCTTTATAGATCTAGCCATTACAATAAAAAGGAAGTCTCCATCATTGATAACTCTATCCTACACTTTAGCCATCAACCGAGTTGCTAAGGCATCAACTTCCTCAGTTTTAGAAACAAATCAGTATTTATACTTACCTCTGAGGAACTTAATCTTGATAAATTCAGAGTTACATTTTTTTAATGAAAGTATGAACCCTGCATCATGATCCATCTTCTTATACATTAGAAAAAAATAGTTCCACATCATAAAAATAAAAAATAACAAAATAGTAGAAGCTAACAAATATAAAGAAATCTTTCATATTCCTTCACGTGTTGGTATCTAGTGCACAAATGATCAACAAACCCTATGGAATATAAATTTTTTAGGGACTGGTAATAGGGTCTCTGGCCCCTTTCACTTCTTTTACTCATCTTTAGAGGAAGGATCACATAATTAGTGTTCTGTAAGGGTTGCTTCGGCAATGCAGCAGAAGTAGATTTGAAGCACATCTTCTTGATATCTTCAACAGCATTGTGAAAAATTGACTGGGATGGATAGAAATGCCCATCTTAAATAGATATTCCTCTCTCATAAAGTTTTTGATGTATTATACCTCAAACTAAAGTTTCTTGAGGACCTAAAATACATGTATCTACAGTTTCTCATTCATGGTGATCTAGAAAGAAATGGGCAGTTGTTGTAGTTTTCATTGACTCTCACGAAAGCTTCAGTCATTCTAAGTGAAGAAAATTTCATTGCACTAGTAGTGTATTGGATCGTTTATTTGAAGATCTAATATCATGCTACATAAGGATATCCATTTGTGTGCATCGCTAGTAAACCTATCAAGACTGGATAAGATCTCGACGTCATCTTGGCACCATATTTTCTAAATAAGGTGATTAACCCAATAACAATCGTAGTGTCTGGTGCAAACTGACAATGCTTAATAAGTCAAGAGAGTAATTTCACCAACATGTCATTCGGAAAGTAGACCTTCTTCTGAATTTGTGAGCTTAAATATCACCTTGTTAGAATTTTGGTACTTTGTATGATTTTTTAGGGGACGCGGTTCCCTTGACATTGGCCTTATAAAGTATAAAAAACCTCCTTCAATAAGAATAATAATAATGCAGGAAGGGCTCTGAGGGTTGCACTACACCAGCATAGAAGGAGGCAAAACAACAGGGCAAAATACTTTGGGGATTATGCAATACCAGCACAGAAGGAGGCACAACAATACGCTAAAGAACTCTGGAGGTTGCACAACGCCAACACAATAAATGGTACAACAGCAGACTAAGGGTCTGAAGAGGGTAATTGTGCCTTTTGCTCCCCTTTCTAGGACTATTTATAAGCTATAAATCATGAAAAATAGCGTAAGTGTGCCTTCTCCTCTCCTTTCTAAGACATTTTATAAGCTATAAATCATGAAAAACAACTAGAAAACTCTCCTACATTGTATCTCATCACAACATTATCATCTGTGTGTGGTGTAATCCATGGGATCGCGACCCTCATATTGACACAATGACAATGCATCACTTGTGTTCTGTGGTGGGTTGACACAGATCGCTATCCCAGCCTGCTCACCGTCATCTGATCTCATCCTACAGAGCTAACCTTACACAGCTCGATGGCTCATTTAACCATCCATGATGCTTGACATGACCTAACCCAACATTCCTCTCGACCACTCATGATGGTGTGACCCAGTTGACTCAATTCGATCGTTGTAGCATCTCCAACCCATGATGACCCACCTCATTTTCCTCTAGTGCATTTAGCAGTCTCCACTACCGCCTATCGGGCACCGTGACGTATAAGCATAATTATTTGTTTTTATTTTCAATTTTTTACTCTATTGTTATTATTTTGATTATTTTTAGACAATATGAACTAAAATGAGTGAAAAAAGGGGGCAATATTTATGTCGTCAACTAAGTTTAATCATTTGGCATGAATCTAGAGGTATTTAGCACAGAACACGAAGCATTTTTTTAACAAGAAATATTATATTCAATTAAAAATCATATAGAGTTCTAATTTTAGCAAACTTATGGTCAATTGATTGGCTTAACAAGACAAACCTAATGATATCAAAATTGATACAATATAAGTCCAATTAAGCCTATATCCAGCTGTTGAACCACATTTAGAGGCTTTGGATAGTTAATCAGATGGTAAAATGAACTATAAACTTGATGTACTTATAGTCAAATCAAGCATCTCGATAAGAGGAATCCAAATAGCCTAAGATCACCTGATTTTGAGGTTACTAAGGCCACTAGATCATTAAATAAACATCTTATAATCAGGGGGAATCAACGTGGGTTGTTTAGTTGAGTGTTTGTGAAAATGCTTCTCTCCAAGAGCCTATAAATAAACTACATCTCTTCAATTGAAAGGGAAGGGAGGAAGAAGGAGGAGAAGCCTATTTTCAGCACTTTTCTAGACTAGAGACCCGACAATAACTCCCGACTTCCATTGTTGCTGACCATTGTTGACTACCGCTCACTGACCCTCTTTGACCATCACAGACGCCCTCTACTCGTCGTCATTGATGAACTTTGTGGAGCAAAGAAGTATGTTACTGTGTAACGACACACATTACAGAGTAATGAAATATTCTATTGAGTGATGAAGTCTTTTGTATACGAAGTAAAGTAGTTTTTTTAAATTTTGTGCAACCATGTACCCTAAACACATTATATGAAGTCTTGACAATTCCTTCCAGTAGAAATTGCTTTTGATCGTTGTACAACTAACTTTTTTGTATATCGATATTGTACTTAAAGAAACCTTGTAGTCTTTATCTTTGTATATACAAACTTATATAGCAGATCATTCTAACTAAGTTAGGTGCTGTGGTTTTTTCACTTTTTGGGTTTCTTCACATATAAATTTATGTTGTCTTTTCCTAATACTTTTATTATCTATGTCTATATGTCGAATTTTATACAATACTGACAAAATTAAATTATTTACCTACCTTAATAAATTTTCTAGCACCCAACACCCTCCAAAATTTATAAATAGACACGCTGAATCACCATTTGCTTCACCGTCAACTTCTTGCAATCGAAATTTGCTCGAAAGGTATGATATATTTTGACCTATTTCGAATTCAACAATAAAATAATTATAAAATTATTATATAAAAATAGGCAATTAAAAAAATATATTTCCCATTAGACCACATTTCTCCATAATGCTACAAGCCTAATAAAAATATCACCTCTATCAAAAAAATATTTCTCTAAATAATAATAATAATAATAATAATAATAATTATAATAATTGTAAAAGAAAATCTGCTCATTGTTTGACAAATGCAGATATTTATTTACTTTTACAAGATTTTTTTTAGTTTATATTTAAAAATTATGATTGAATATCTTCATTCAACTTCACAAAAATTAAATTAAATTTATATAAGTTATTAAACGATGACAAATGGTGGACAATAAATATGTTTTCATGTTACTTTGACTATTATCTTCTTAATTTATGCAATAGTAAGGCCTCTTCAATTATACATACATATATATATATATATATATATAATATATATATATTCTTAATTTATGCAAGAGTAAGACCAACTTGTTGAGTCTCGAATCCGTGACCTGAGACGAATTATATAGATTATATAAATATATATATATATGACACCTGAAAATTCATATTTCCATGCATATTATTTAAATTTTTTATATGACATCAAAAATATCATTATTACTATCTTCTTAAAATAGATTATACATTTTCACATGGATTCATGATTATAAGATGTTAGGAGTATAAATATAAAATTTCTGAGTGTTAGATATATTAATATATAAAAATTATGTAGTAATTATGAAAATTTTCTAGGGGTAATTACATTCTGATCACCCTAAACTAGCTATTCACAAATCGACCAACTTCTTTCATCCATTTTTCAAATTTATGATACAACTCGACTCATATTTTACATTTTTATACGAGTGCTTGTTTTATAAATATCAAAATTTTGGATGGTCTGTTTGTAATCATCCCTTTTTTTCCACTATATAGTTGGGGACATGAGCCTAAACCATGCACAAACTGGAGAAACACAAGAACCAAAACGAAGGAAGCAGCAGCCAGCCATGGAGGGCATGATGGAGCTGGAAATCCTCACCTTCAGCCCCATCACCCCCGACCTTTTCTTCACCGACTGGAGCTCCCATGAAATCGACTGTAACCATTTCACCGAAGACTTCCACGACCCAATCAACTCCCCCTTCTCCTCCCCCACCGTCAGCCCAACAAACACCGGCTGCCCCAACATCCACCTCCCTCCGCCTCCTCCACCTCCTCATCGCCGCCGCCGAATCCCTCACCGGCTCCCTCCAATCCTCTGATCTCACCGAAGTAATATTGGCTCGGCTCAAGGAACTCCTTTCCTGCGGCTGCTCAAGCAGTATCGATCGCCTTGCCGCACATTTCACCGATGCCCTCCACTCTCTCCTTCACGGCTCCGGCAACGCCGCCTCGCCGCCAAAATTCTCTTTTGAATACCTCGAAGCCTTCCAGCTCATGCAAGACATGTCGCCCTACATCAAATTCGGCCACTTCACCGCAAACCAGGCGATTCTCGAGGCCGTCGCCGGCGAGCGTCGCGTCCACATAATTGACTTCGACATCACGGTCGGCGTCCAGTGGGCTTCCCTCATGCAAGCCTTGGTGTCCGTCAGCAACGGCTGGCACCCACCCCACCTTAAAATCACGGCGGTTGCACGTAACCGTAAGTCGGTGCAAGAGACAGGCCGGCGGTTGGCCGCTTACGCGGCGTCGATCGGGCTCCCGTTTTCGTTCGCGCAGTGCAGGTTGGATGAAGACGACCAGTTCCGTCCGACGGGAGTTAAGGTGGTGAGAGGTGAGGTGGTGGTGTTCAACTGCATACTGCAGCCGGGCTCTACGGCCGGCGGTTTGTCTTTTATCGCCGGTGCTGCGGCGGCGGGGCTCTGCGGCCGGCGGTTTGTCTTTTATCGCCGGTGCTGCGGCGATGGGGGCTCGGGTGGTGACGATTGTGGAAGAGGAGGGGGAGGCGGTTGGGTTTGAGGGGAGGTTTGTGGAGGAGATGGTGAGGTATTCGGCGATTTGTGATGCCATGGAGGCGGGTTTTGGGGGACAGGAGAGGGCAAGGGAAGCGGTGGAGAGGGTGTTTTTGGGGCCGAGGATTGCGGGGGCGGTGGGTAGGGCGTACAGGGGAACGGAGAGGTGGGAGAAGATCGGGGAGATGATGGAGGCGGCGGAGTTTGGGAGGGTGGGGTTGAGTTTTTTCAATATTTGTCAAGCTCGGTTATTGCTCAGTCTCTTCAATGGATACCAGCTTGAGGAAGAGGGTTGCAATAAAATTGTGTTGTGTTGGAAAACTTGCCGGCTGATATCAGCGTCTGTGTGGTCGGCTCCGCCGCTGGTTTCGCCGGAGGGGAGTTTACTTTAGCGGTTGTGGTGAACTCCTCTTTTCTCCGATGTTCAAAACCTGGTTTTTCAATCGCTGTGGTCAAAATGACATCTTTAAATAACCTTACTGTACCAGGCTTAATTATGTGGTTTAAGATATCATTAATGAGCTTTAATCTTACTTAGATATCATTAATGAGCTTTAATCTTACTTTTAAGAGGATTAAGCTAATCTGGATATTGTCATGGCACATTCAGTGCATTGCGCATGGTTGTTATGTATATAATTACAAATCTCACACCTAAGTTTCATAGGTACAAATATAACACGTAAATGTTTAATATCATATAAAATATAGTTCTATAATGACTTTTTTATTTCTTGTTTAAAATTGAAGCACTAAAATGTCATGTGGGATATGTAAATAGATGAGAATAGTAAGCTACGTATAAATTTTCCATTAAATAAATACTGGAGATGTTGTCATCCCATGATTGCTATGGTTTGAAAAATTAACGATAGTTTTTAACTAATTAGAAAAGTTGCTTCCACCAGCCTTCTCTTACATGGGGAAAAAATATTACATCAGGAGTCCTGATACATTCAGAGTCTAATAATGGGACGTCATGTGTCAAATGGGCTCCACCGTTTTTAACACCGGCCAATACCAGTGTACACGTGGCGTCCCATCATTGGACTTTTGATGTAATATTCTCTCTTACATGGGAGGATTCGTAAAATTTTGAAGCGACACACTTTTATTGTTGAATTAATAATTAATTTTTATTTCTTATGCGTCCCACAAAACTATTGGCTATAAAAGGGATTAATTTTGTTGTTGATATGATTCTCATGCAAGATTGGTCGGGATGATGGTCGTGTCAACTATTATCATGAGTTGTCATTATGATTTGTGCTCGCTCATTGATCAACCAATGGAGAAATTCATCTAATTGACATCAATTTAAAATTTTTGACTTAAATTCATCCATGTAATTCAAGTTATTTTAAATACCCTGTGACATTTGTATGCTGACCATTTAGATCACCAACTACCCTTATTTTTAGGTATAAGGCTTACATCAATTCATTCTTAATTACCAGTGACCTAATGCTTCAGCATAAATTTTAAAAGAATATAAGCCTTGATAGCATATTATCACCTCCCAAAAGAGCTCTTAAGAGAGGTGGTCAGCCCAACACTTAAATATTATTTTTCGGCCCTACACTTAGCCGATGTGAGACTTTTTGTCCGTGACATTCTCCTCCACCCAATCACGTGATGCCCTCGTCACAGGCCGACTCCTCCAAGGGTCCCACTGGACCATGGAAAGTCCACACAGTTGGTTGGCAGTAATCTGCTCTGATACCATTTGTCACCTCCCAAAAGAACTCTCCGGGGTGGTAGGAAGCCCCATGTCTTAAATACTGCTTTTCGGCCCTACACCTAGCCGATGTGGGACTTTTTGTCCGTGACACTATGCTATAATCAATTAGATGATTAAATTAAAATAAAAAGAAGTTAATAAATTTAACGTAATTATAGGTTCATCTTTTTCACTAAAGTTTATGACACCCAATTATATTCGAATTGTAATAGCAGTTTATCTGTTGTACACTGGCAGACCAAATGAAGCCACCATCACTCATAATCAGAGCATCATAAAAATCCAACTATAATGCTTGTGCTTAATCTGCTTAATTTGTACATGCTCATTTATGAGTCGCATGACACGTGTTTAATATGTGTTGCCACACATGTACGACTCTATTACTGCTTAAGATTTTCTTGTCTAGATCGAAGATGCATCTACAATTCCTCTGAGAGCTTTAGTGCTGAAATTTTAATCTAAGCCTTTGTTTTTCATTCATTTTCATCTTCCACACATGCACGACTCTTTTAACCAATATATGTATGTGTGTGTGTGTGTGTGCGCGCGCGCGCATACAAATTTTCAAAATTATTAATAATGGCCCACCATTTCCTTACATTGAAGGATGAAAGGCAACACCTAAATCATAGTCATACACATAGTAATGTTTAATTGTTCTATTTTGATTGCACTCTATTATGTATTGATTGTTGTGAAATTTTAGGTTATATATGGATATTCGCACAACAATGTCGTGAATGTACGATATACTTTATCCAAATAGAAAAAGAATCTTGCACTGAATAGTTCATGAAAGGTGTCAAAGCCTTCGTGGCAGCTACGACTCAACTTTTGACTTGTCATTCTGAGGGTAATTTTTGATGTCCATATCCAAAACACAGAAATCCAGCGAACTTAATGACTGATGAAGCAGAAATGATTAATTATATTATCAGGGATTTCAACCTCATTATTGGATTTGAACTTCAAAAGGCAAGGTTGACCCTTTAATATTTTGCTTTGCTCCTTCGACGAGCTATGCTCCTTCACTTGAAAATTACTCAAGTATATCTTAAAAAATGATCTTTTATAAGGAAAGACTACATTATCTGAGTCAAGTGGAGGAAGAAACACCAAACCCTGAAGCTAAGGCATTTTATGTATTATTGAATGCGGCATTAAGGTCATTGTGAGAGGGTTGCACATCTTATTTTGAGTTATCTATAGCTCTCAGAATGTTAAAAAGTAAGACAAAGTTTAACTTGTTCCAAGAGTTCTTCAATTAGCTTGCATGATTATTGAAGGAGACAAATTTGAAGCAAAATTTAGTTCAAAAAGACTTAAATATGATGAAAAGTCGGTCTCCAAGTTAGGGTTGTAATAAAAGAAGATTGAATGTTGTGTAAGCATATGTATCCAGTGCAACGAAGACTCTCTTTCTCTTCTTCTTTCTTACTTTCCCTCTTGCTTTACACTCCATTTCTTAGGTGTGGTTCACGAAACAAAAATTGATACAACAATAATATATATGCATATATATCAAGATAAAAGCTATTAGATCTAAACCTAAATAGATTTCAAATGAATATATATATATAATGTAAGAGATCTAGCTCCAAATATATCTAACCCTGAACATATTTCACAAAAATGTCTTCTAAGTTTATAAATCTAAGCTAAAGATTGGAAGATTTCACTTCATGTAAGATAGATGAAATCTACATAATATTCAATACATTTATGCTAGAAATTAAGCAATCTTCCATAAATTTCAATACAAAGGCACATAAAATTTAAGAAATAAAAAATCAAATTACTACTTCTAAAAGTTAGTAAGATGTTATACCTTTTATTCTATTGAGAAATAAAAAAAAAATTACAATTTTGTGGAGATTTGGAGGCACTAGAGCACAGGGGAAGTTTTTGACTGAGAGAGAGAGAAGTAAGGAAGGAAAAGAGGAATGAGAGTTTTGGCCATCTTGTTGAACATAAAGTAGGTTTTATATGGCATTTCCAAAGGATTTTTCTCTAAAAAAATTTCCATCTTATGATCCACCATAAAGGTTATTGAAGCTTAGTTACAGATGGAACAATAGAATTTCAATGGTAAATTTTGTTAGAAATGTTATAGAAACATTTTCATCACAAAAATTGCTAATAATTCCTCATGATGTTAAGTTGTTTATTGTTCCACCAGTTCTGATTGTTTTTCCCTTTAAACACTAGTTTATTTTCTTCTAGACATCCTTAATGGCAAATGTCCATCCCTTGACATAAACAAAGTTAGGCCTAGCTATCATTTCTTATGCATCACATGAGATGGCGAGGTACTAATAACATGATCACAAACTTTATAAGATAAAAACTGATAAGTTTGTATTTTCTTAATATTTTTCCTGTAATGTTAGTTTCATTTTTCCTAGACACCCTTGATCCCAAACTTCCATCCCTTGACATAACCAAAGTTTGACATAGCTATCAATTTTTTTTACAACACATGGAAGGTACCAATCACATCATCAAAGCTATATATGATAAAAGCTAGAATTGCAAATAATCAAAAGATTTTTTTGGTTTTTATTTATTTTTTTAAAAAAAAATTTAAATTCAAACAAGCACTTAATAAGGAGTTCTCCCCACTTGTTATCAAATAGGTAGTAAAACTGACACCATCAACATAGTCTTCTCAATGTCTGTCCCTCATCTTTAAATATTGGTTGTATTCTCTCTAAGACAATGAAATAATATATATATAACACACATACACACACAGTAGAATAGTTATAATCTATATGAATTGATGAAGTTGAGCTTGTCAAACCACATAAACTTATGTCTTTTAAATGTGATTGTTGTTGTGCATGTTCTCTAATCTTAATTTTATTTTTGTAACTTTAAAGTTAATTATTATCCAAACATCACCTCTCCACATTTGATTGGAATAGCATCAATAATTAATAATAAATATTAAGTAGATTGAGGGAATTTAGTACATGCTTGATTATAATCATGTCTGATTTATCAATAACTAGATATTATCAAAGAAAAATATCAAATAATGTCAAATGGAGCGTGGAACAGATTAATAGAATGAGATAATTAAAATATAAATATTTATTTAAAGTAGACAATAGTTATTTTTTAAAAAAAGAACACAAGTTTAAGATGAATTACGCATAAAATACTTTTGCGAGTGAGCAATTTTATTAGTGTTAAAATAAACATATCCCAATGCTGCTTTCATATTACTATTTTTTTGTTTTTTGATGAAAAATTTATTAAAAATTTTATTGTCATGAAGTGAACAACACAAAATTAATCATGATTATTGTACATTAAAATTATTTTATTTTGAATTATTAAAATTGAATTCAAATTTCTAAATTTTAGGTGAATTTTTCTATTGAATTGTTAAAATTATTTGCATTGCCTCACAAAGTGAAATTAATGATTAAATGAAAAATCACATGATACAACATACTTAATTGTAGAATGCATCTCTCTCTCCTCTCTCTCTCTCTCTCTCTGTGTGCACATGAACACACGTGTGTAAGAGTCAGAAATAGATGATTGAAAAATTAGTGCATGTTGATACGAACAGGCTGAGATTCTTAGTTGAATAATATGTATATATTTATTTATATTAAGTTAATACTTTCTATACTCTAATTTAATAATCTCACCAACACAATTAAGAATAGTAAGACATTTTTCTTTCATGGTTAACACTTCTTACAATTCAATTTGAAAATAAAAAATAATTGTCCATTGAATAAGCTTGTGATTTATTTTAATTAATCTCATCAAGTTTCATATCATGCACTACTACATGTGAATTGATATAATCATAACCCATATGATGGAAGTAATGAATAGAGTTACAAGTTCTTCATTTATGTTATTCTCTATCACAAGAAATACCTCCTTGATTACTTTTGTAATATATGTTAATTGTTGTATCATTACTCAAATCATGAAAGCTGCACTAAATCTGCTACATTGCACACGACAGGGAACATGTTGATATTTATATGCACTTAACCAGTTTCCAATCCTTGACACGTGTCACATTCACATTTCCCTAAATCGTGTTCGCTGAAATATTGAGAAACATCTGATCCACCCGCATGTTTTTAAACGGGTCGGTTTCGCATCCTGTTTTCCTCATCATTCGAAATAGGATCATCGAAAAATTGAAGTGCGGTCCGTCGCTGTTATATAGAAGCCAGAAGGCCGCCATGGCTTACCGCCGGATTCCATCACCGCCGCCATGTCGCTTCTCCTCCCCTCCCAACCGGTTACGGTCTCCACCTCTGTACCTCGCGTTCCCCTGCTAAACGCCCTTGTGCATTCCGCACACTTCCCCTCACGTCGAACTCACCTCCGCCGGCGAAGCATTCTCCTCCTCGCCGGATTCTCTTCGTCGCAGCTTTCTCCAGCAGTGTGTCTGCACAAACCCTTCGAATGTTCATTCAATTTACCTAACCCTTTCCCCTTCGTCACTGTATCCGCTGGATTCGTTTACGTCTGCAGCTTCCTCGGGATCCTCCCGTCAGACTTTTCTGATCGGTGGAACTACCTAGTGGAGATCTCGAGTGGCTCGGAGAAGAAGGTGAAAACCCTACCTTACCATCTAATCCAGGCTGTGCTGGCGTCGGAGGACCGCCGCTTCTTTTACCATTTCGGCTTTGATCCCTTCGGCATTGGACGCGCCGTCGTTTTCTACCCTAATGGCGGAGGTGGAAGCACGATTACTCAGCAGGTAAGCGCATTGCCATATTGTAATTCACAATCTAGAGGATAGAATTTTTTGCAGGGTTATGGGTGCGGTTAATTCGGAAGCACTATATGCGAAGTGAGAAGTGCTAATTTTTTCTATTGTTCTAATCGCAGCTGGCGAAGAATATATTTTTAACAAGCGAAAGGAAGATTTCCAGAAAAATTGTGGAGGGAATTCTGTCGCTGATTTTGGAAAGGAAATTTTCAAAGTGGGAAATCTTATATGCGTATTTAAATAAGGTCTGTAATTCGCATGATTTATTATGATTAAGTTGTTCTTGTGAAAATTCTTCTATCCGACTAAAGCTGTGAACCTGTTGTTCTATTTGTTATTTAAGGAGACCATGCTTGATAGAATTCATAAGGAAATATATAAAATATTCAGCTTTTCAACAAATGTAGCTAAAAATCGTGAAGAATAGGTTAAATGAAACTAAAAGCCAGAAACTTTTTGAGCTGGTGAAATCAGACTAAAGAAATGCTGCTTAGAATGCTTATGAGTGGCATTTTTTTATTATTACGATTGCAAATTTTAAGAATTTGTCCCAGTTAATGAAAGGAATTAATATTGAAAGTAGGGTACCTTAGATTAGACTGTCTTTTTCGTTTTAGAGTTAGCAGATTCCATGGTGATAGATGGAGAATATATCAAGAGGAAAGAAAAAAGAGGATGTAACCTGTTAGGTTTTTTGGGCCTCTGATATCATGATGAAACTCATGGAAGAATGCCCTACGGAAATGGAAATAGCAGGAATTACAATAAGAAGTTCATCAATCTGATTCAATGAGAGCTACCTCACATGACTATTTATATAGGAAAGGAAGTTAGAGAGGGGGAACTCGAATACAGCTAACTGTGAATTTTGAGTATAGCTGGCAGAGAGTCATTCCTGTTGTTGGTTTGTCACAATGTGCGTTTCCTGAATCTTTAAAACTGAATATAGTTGTTATCACTATGCATGCAATCCAACCTCGACTTGACTTCGATGCCTCACTGGATTGTAAACTAATACTTTGTTTGTTTTGTAAGTTACTTTCAGTTCATCCTTTTTCTCATGTAACATGTGGCCATCGGCTGAGGATTATCCTTTACAGATTTGTCCAATGCAATGCATAAACCCTTGGGGAGCGTTGACAATTATTATTTTTCGAACTTTTTTGTCAGATTCTGAAGCTTCTTTATTTTTGTGTGTGTGAATCTACTGCAGTTTGTATTTACTTTTTCTTCTAATCATTATTTTTATTAATCATATGATTTTACTATGACTCATATGATTGTAATATTTGCCAATCCAATCCACTGGTATTAATTGGAAGACCTTATTACATACTTCATATCGATTTTGTTCTATAGATAGTGCTTCACAACTTTTGGTTTTATGTTGATAGAGAATTGAACCAAGAGCTAATTTCTTTGTATTCATTACTCCTATTGTGATGTTACTTTATGAGTGTTGCCAAGCATGAACCTACAATACTCCAGTTTTCTTAGGAAGACAGAATAAACACCTTTCATGTATATTAGCGGTTATCTTGTTGCTTAAAGTCAGAAAACACATTTCCAAAATGACGATATTTTATAGGTTCCAGTATTTGACTGGATTTAGTTAGAAATCAGCATTGAATTTTAACTTTCACCTAGCAAAATGGCCTCCAATTTAGTGACTTCGTCTTCACAGACAAGGGAAAACAAAATCATTACTTTCTAAGATATGTTTCCCATCTACAAGCAACCAATTATTGATGTCAAAAGTAAAACGGTTACCAATCGTATCACTCATGGGGATTTTGATGGCACAGATGTATTGGGGACATGGGAACTATGGCATTGAAGCAGCATCTTCATTTTACTTTGGAAAGCATCCCTCCATGCTTCATGTTGGGGAATCTGCACTGCTATCTGGGATTTTACCTGGACCTGAATCCCTAAACCCGATTTCAAATCCAAAGAAGTAAATCTAGTTTTTTTTAATTAAAGTTTACTGTTAGAATGTATTTATATTGAGTTGCAATAGAGTGAATGAAATTTAACTGCTTGATTTTTAAAGGGGAAAGGATTCACAAGCTCGGGCATTAAGGAGAATGGTGGATGTGGGGTTTTTGGATTTGGAGATTGCACTTGATATTGTGAAGCAACCTCTTTGCTTAGTCAATAGCTTTGATGTACAAGGAGTTAAGGTAATTAAGTTTAAAGCAGTTTTTTTGTATATTTTTTTGATAGGTTACACTCAATTATTATTTTACTTTATTTATTTTTTTATTTTTTTAAATTTTTTTAAGTGTTTTAATTTGTTTTGCACTGATTTGAGGTTCCCCTGCTAGAATTTTTAGGGGGTTGATTTTATTCTTGGCCATTTTACTTGAGCACAAATTAAGCATTATTCTTTTTAGCTCTTGGTTTCAGTGTCACTCTTTTTATCTCTGGATTCTGGTTTAGCATAAGAAAATGTGTTTTATGCAATAGTCACCCATCTTCAGCTTTGAGGAATAGTTCGGCTATCACATCATAACTGCTGCAAAGTTTCCATTTTCAAGTAACCTATGGCACAACTAAAATTGGTAACCAATTTTTTTTGTTAACCGCTGTAGAAAGCACATCATACTTGAAAGCAGTTATAAAACATCATTACACCCACCATACTTCCATTTGCGAACCATTTATACTATACTTATTTTGCTACTTGATTTCAATAATTGTTTTGTGCAACTAAAGTTTAATGTGATAGAAACGAGAATGTTAAGATTGACATATGGTAACATTTGGATAGTGTGAAATTAGGAAGATGATGGGAGTAGCACATATTGAATATTAGAAAATAAGATTTAGGAAATACATTTAGCTGCTTTAGGCTTGTAAAATAGATTGTGAAAGGTGCACCAATATGATGACTAATTAGAATTAGTGTAAAAGAGTTGAGAATTGAAAGGGATCGAACAAATTTAGTATGTTTATAAATTGTGCAACATGATACACAAAATGTTGTTGTTACTTCATATAGCACCAATCACAAATGAATGGAGCTTGATAATTTTTAATGTCAACCTTAGACTCTTGGGGTAAGGCTTATGATGATGATCCTCTTATGTTTATCACAGACGGAGTTTTTTTTTTTTTTTTTTTTTTTTTTTTTTTGGTGTATACGTTTTCTGAAATATGACCCACAAACATCACATATTGTTAAAGAAAAGGAGAAGCCTATATTGCTTTAAGGAGAAGAAACATTTATTTTACTTGCCAAATTGACGAAAATGACAATGGCACAGAAAATGCTTGTACAATTGTCTATGACAAAACAAACTGGATTTTAGTCAAGTTTGCAATTAAAAAGTTGGGAGAAGTGTATATGCAATTCTATTTTTTAGCTTTTCTCTGTTCAATTTTTCGTTCTGCTCTACTACAAAATATTTATCTTTTTTTCTTTTAATCTGATTTAGCTTGTTTTCATAATTTGTATCTCATTTGACAATTGATTGTTTTTAATCAGACTGCTTATATTTGCTTTCCAATTTTGCAGAAATAAATATACTTTGAATCAGGGGTGGAGAAATTTTTATCGTTATAATTAAATGTAGAATTATCGAAGTGATATTAACCACTGTTTGTTGTGCTTCAAAATTCAAGTTCTTTGCGATGATAAGATGTGCTTGTACAATTTCAGTCAATGGAAAGGATTATATGGTCATGGCTGCAATGATTATACCCTCTTTCTTAAAGCTTTGCCTTGATAAATCTGCTGAAATTTACGCTTACAACACATCCTAGCAGTTGGAGGTAGAGACTAACATTGTATGTGAGGTGCAAGTTATTACATATGTATTTTTCTTCTAAGACAATTTGAATTGTTTATTGTACTCCATTCAGATTATAAATCTCAACTTTGAATATCTGGTTGATGCATATGAACAATATTGAAATGCTTTGCATTTTTTCCCTTCCCAATTTTAGGATGAAAAAGATGAGCAATAGGTCATCCAACCTATCGTGTGATTTAGCAATATCTTTGTTGGGTAATGTGGAGACTTTATCCACCACAATTTAATTAGCATCCTAATTAAGAATCTCACCTATCGCTCACCTATCTTCCCACCTACCGCTCACCTACCACATCACATTTATCGCTAATCTACCTCCCACCTATCATACTCCTGGTTTCTATAAATAGCCTCTTATGACTTGTTATAAGCAAGTCAGGTCAAGCCAAGTCCTCTAAGAGAGAAAGAGAGAGGAAGGGAGATAAGAAAATAGAGATTTTCTTGAAAACGACGAGGTGTTCGATGGTATAATTCCTCAAAGAAATAAAATCCTCTGCAGCTCCGTGGACGTAGGCAAACTTGTCGAATCACACAAATCTGTGTATCGCTCTGGTGTTTTTTTTTCTGCATGCAATTTTTCTCGTTCCATTTTTTCACTTATTGTCGTCGTTTTTTCACAACAACTGGTATCAGAGCCGTGGTTTTGGATCTAAGGAAGAACGATGGGCGGAGACGGAGTGATGGTATTGGGGATCAAGAAGTTCAATGACACAGATTTTGGTTACTGGAGAATTCAGATAGATGACTACCTCTATGGGAAGAAATTTCATTTTCCGTTATTGGGAAAGCGATCGAAAAAGATGGATGAGGCGGAATGGAATATATTGGATCCACAGGTTTTGGGAGTTATATGATTAACCCTGTCGAGATCGGTTGCCCACAACGTTATCAAGGAGAGGACTACTGCAGATCTCATGAAGGCTTTATCAGGTATGTATGAAAAACCATCGGCGAATAACAAGATGCACTTGATGAAAAAGTTATTTAACTTGAAGATGACAGAAGATGTGTCTGTTACTCTACACCTGAATTATTTCAATACTATCACAAATCAATTGTCGTCTGTTGAAATTGATTTTGATGATGAGATACGTGCATTGGTATTTTTGGCTTCATTGTCAAATAGCTGGGAAGCCATGAGGATGACAGTTAGTAATTTTGCAGGTAAATATAAGCTGAAATATGATGATATTCATGATTTGATTTGTGCTGAGGAGGTGCACAGGAAGGATTCTGGCAATGCCTCGTATTCAAGTTCGGCACTGAATGTTGATCTCAGGGGGAGATCATTTGACAGAAACTCAAACAGAGGAAGATCAAAATTAACGTTTGGTCAGCAAACAACCTGCTAGAATTGTGGCAAGTCTAGTCACATAAAAAAAAATTGCAAGAATCCTAAGAAGAAGGAGAATAATGACGCTGATGTTGTAACTGAAGAAATACAATATGCGTTATTGCTGACAATTCACAGTTCTGTTGATGACTGGATAATGAATTCATGGGCTTCCTTCCATATATCTTCCCACTGGGAGTTGATGCGAAACTATGTTGCAGGTGACTTTGGGAAGGTACATCTGGCTGATGGAAAAACACTGAGCTTGGTGGGGATGGGAGACGTTGATAGTGCACTCCCTAACAAGAGCAACTGAACTTTGCAAAAGATCAGACACATTTCTGAGTTGAAGAAAAATCTCATCTCTGTTGAACAGCTCAATGAGGGTGGTTATTTGGTGTGTTCTCAAATAGCACCTGGAAGGTTATCAAAGGAGTATTAGTACTGGTTCGATGTAAGAAAACTGACACACTATATATGGCTAAAGGTTTACTCAGGCGATGACACATAAGTTAGAAGTGCATTATGGGGAAGCAGAAGAAGATCAGTTCCCTGAAAAGTGGCAGAGCGCCAAAGACAGGAAAACCGGACATTGTACAGACAAATGGTGGAGAACCACAAAACTATGAAGAAATCTTACAAGATGAGAATTTGAGCAAGTATGAGCTGACCAAGAAGGAGAAGTCTAATTCCCTGCCAGGGAATCAAACTTGGGAGGTGGCAGAACTTCCACCAAGGAAGAAGACATTGCACAATAAGTGGGTGTACCGGGTTAAGACTTCACTTGGTGGCAGTAAAAGGTACAAGACTGGACTTGTTGAGAAGGGCTTTCAGCAGAGGCAGGATGTTATACATCATGTGGGAGTTGTAAGCAGATACAGGAGTAACTAAGGAAAGAACTTGATGATACAAGACTACGTTGACGGTGATATATCAACTAAGGGTATTACTCGCGAGAAGCTGAAGTTGTACTTAACTTCAGCTAGTCTTCTGGTTTGAAGATTAGAGATTTGAGTTGCAGAGGTGGAGGATAACATGTTTGAGGAAAAGGTTGGTACAGCTAATAGATGATGCAGTCAGTAGGTGATGCAATCAGTGTCTTAGTCTCTAAGTGGGAGAATTGTTGGGTAATATGGAGACGATCCACCGCAATTTAATTAGCTTTCTAATTAAGAATCACACATACCGCTCATCTACCACATCCCACCAACCGCTAACCTACTTCCCACCTACCGTTCTTCTGGTTTCTATAAATAGTCTCTTATGGCTTGTCATAAACAAGGCAGGCCAAGTCAAGTCCTCTAAGAGAGAAAGAGAGGAAGAGAAAGAGAGATGGAAAGAGAGAAGAAAATAGAGATTTTCTTGTAAACGTCGAGACGTGTAATTTCTCGAAGAAATAAAATCATCTGCAGCTCCGTGGACATAAGTAAATTTGTCGAACCACGTAAATCTGTGTATCGCTCTGGTGTTCTTTTCTGCGTATAATTTTTCTCGTTTCATTTTTTCGTTTTATTGTCGTCATTTTTTCACAACATATCTTCTGGAAAATGTAAACCGTATTAGAGATTATAAGTAATGCATGTCCATTATTAAAATATTTTGTGATTGAATCAAAGATTTTAAAGGTTTATTCAAACTTTACATGAAAAATACCAAGGAAAACATGAGGAAACATGATTATCATTCTATTTTAGGTTATTTCTCAATAAACCAAAGATATTTTTGGTTAAGTTTGTGTGAGATATTTTTATATAGAACACAGTGGATGAGAAATTAATTTCCTTTGTAGTTGGACTTAGGAAAGTTGTTACGGTCTCTACAAGTGACTCTTATTCATATGGCTAAATAGATTTTTTTTTTTCCTTTCAAAAATAAATTATTTATATATATGAACTTTTACAAAGCTTTCTAAAGATGGATGGTAGAAATCACAAAAACATCTCAACCATTGAAATCCTTTTTCGGACAAGTGATCAACTATGCGGCTTGATTTGGATTTATAATGTCCAATTTTCATGGGAAATCAAATAAACGGATATATCATATGCCACGTGAATTGGATTAGCTGGCCACTTTTGATTGAAATGATCGAAGTGATTGATTATCCTAGTTAATTAATAAGGCAATCGAAGAAATATAGAGATGCGAAAGTTCTACTTGATGGATTTAAAGTTTCAATTCTTTTAATGATGCTAATTGTAGTTAATGAATTCTTTTGATTTAAATAAATATGTCATAGTGTTGGCTTGGACAAATCGTTTTAACTCTTTGATCTCACCCTAATTAATAAAGTGGTCCTAATTATCGGAATTTAATAGTCAATGTAGCTAAAGTGATTTTTTTTTTTTTGTTGTCCATGAGCCAATATAAACGGTGCTTAGAGCTTTTAGATTTGCTCCATTTCCTTCATGTGAGCTTGATCTCCTCTGGTGAAGTTATCAGATCAATCCATTCATTGATTACTTCGTAATCTTTAGTGATTGAAAACCTTGATTTCAACTCTGTCCTTTGTATAGCTGGTTGCATCAGAAGAATTACTCCTGAACTTTAATTTTGAGGACGTGGACAGATAGATGTTTTTAGGCAGTAAAACTTATGATTCAGATATTTTAATTTGGGAATCAAAATAGATTTATGTTATAATCCTACAAAATGGATGTTAATAGACTCACTTTTTTAAATAGCCAAAAGAAAGCACTTTGATGTTTGAATTATAATTTGCCAAGACTATCAGAAAATCTAATGCAAAATAATAATTCATTTTTCTTGTAAATAGTATAACTCATATTTTAACTTATATCGTTGAGCACCATTAATGGTACCCATGTTACATTCTGCAGGTTGGCACACCTACACATTTCCACTAAGGTTTAACAAAAGAATATTTCCTTTATGCATACAAGCACTTCACTTATTTGAAAAGATTCTAGTTATATAATGATTGGGTTAGTTATATACTAGTTTGCATTTGCTTTTTTGGTATTTTAGTATGTATTTCCCTCTAACTAGAAACTGTTGATTAGATCCATTGCATGAGAAACTTTATTCCATACTAGGCTGAATTAAGTAGATTAAGAGGGCACTGTGCCCCTTATCTTTGAAAATAGGTAATATGTTCTCATACAATACGTTTCCAACTTTCTTCTATGAGGCATAGCTGGCAAGTGATCTAATCCACAATAGAGAAGATTACATGAAGTGAGTATAGCTTTATTTGCTTTTTCTTCTATGATATGGGTAATGTGTTTGAACTCTTTTCATTTTGGAAAAGAAATGCACAATGGGCCATCTTTTTTTTTTTTTTAAGAGCATGCTCAGATTTATGAATTCAAAGAAGGCTATTCATTGAACTTGTTGACTAAATGAAACGGCTGAGTGAGAAAAGTTCTTCTGAAGTTCACTTTTACTATTGTATCAATGGTGTGAAACAACTTTTCCTTAGGGAGTTAAAGATTATACTTGACTACAACATGCAAACATCACACTTCTTTAAGATTCTTGGCTTTCTTCGTCAAACAAAGTTACTTGCGTAGAGTATTATGATGAAGTCTATGCACTAATGCTCTTGTAGAAGTTTGTTATCCATAACCTTATTCACCAACTCACTCACCTATCAAAACAAAATCAGTGATAACAACACAATTTGCTTCATCTTGAGGAATGCTCAAAGCCATATGTGTAGCAAAATGAGACCCTTGTGT